GTGAGAGCTGGAAATATTACATTTTCTTTTAATGTGCTTCCCAACTACAAATCTGCCTGCAGTTCTCTTTTGTCTTTTTTTCTTTCTACTCACTTCTGTGCAGTCATGTCTTAAAGCTGTATTAAACAGCAACAAAAATAGTGGTTTACCTATTTACTAACATATTTCTCCTTACTGGAGGTCATTCTTCAAAATCACCACCCTAACTGGTCGAGGACATCCTGTAATTTTAGCCTATTCCCTTCTTCAAAGCCACTAAAAGGGAGCAAACTAAATAGCTAAATAGCTTCAAGGAGTGGAAAAGAGGGGAGACTGCACAGGCAAAAGAAGAGGGGAGATGGAACAGAGGTGCCCAGGAGGAAGCTGAGCACAACCTGACCAAATGCCCCAGTTTGATGCTTTGAATTCTCTTTACAGTTGGTGCAGTTGTGGGTGGCTCAGCCATCTTAGCCAAGTGACAATTCGAGTTCTCAGCTGTTCAGTTTCTAACTAGACATTTTTAAACCTCATAATCCTACCAAAATTACGCTAATATAACACTACTCTACTGTTACAATTTCAGCTATATGTATGAATGAAAAATATGTCCAGCAGGAGTACGAAGATCCACATTAAATATTTCCTGGGGAGAACACCTGGCAGCTTCCTTCTCCTCTGGAGCAGCACACTCCCCAGGAGCAGAGTGCATTACAGAGATGACCATTTTTTCACCTGAAGAAATGCAAAATACTGAAATGACAAAAGATGGGCTTAACGTTTTCCTTGGTACAGGATGCCTCACCAGAAAATGAACAGGCCCTGTATGGATGCAGTTGCTTTTTCATGAGAAGAGAATGACAAGTGGCATGTTGTCACTCTAGCTCTGCTACTGGTTTGGTTTTGTCACAGCACTGCAAGAGTAGCAGGCACTGTGTAATGTATAGGAGCAAGCAGAGAACAAAAGACTGTTTTTCACAAAATACGTGATACAAAACAGGAGACAAATAGCAATACAGGAGACTAGGGAAACAGGGAAGTACTAGTCAGCATCTTTTCAATGCATAAGAAGCTTTTTCAATAATACAGTAAATATAGTGGAAAAAGTTAGGTTGTCCTGGACAAATCTACTTCTGCACCCACAGCTGGACCAGAAAAGACAAGATAGGAGGCTTAGGAAATCAGCAACACAACAGAACAATAGCTGAACCTCCCAAATTAGCATTTTTCAAACCTGTAAATGTAGAAGGAAAAGGCAAAGCCTTCTGTCCAGAGCTCAAACCAAAAGAAATAAAAACAAAACCAAACCAACCAACCAAAAAATACTTTAAGGAAGAAAAGGACTCAAAGGTTATTTCTTGATTCATATAGGAAACCTTCTAATAACTCCTTCCTAGAAGAGTGGTTTCCTATACCATTATTCATTCACTTTATTCTGTATAAAAACATTTGGAAGCCATCCATCATAGCCCTCTTTCCATCAGCTTGAGATAGCAGAATGAAATGCAAATACAACATCCTACTTTGATATTTAGCATATATGCATTACATTCTTACTACAAAGACATCTGTCTTCTCTGAAGCGAGCTGAAGCCAACCCACTTCCCTGAAAGAGGCTTTTAAGAAGAGTCAAGGGAACAGAAGATTAGTTAAGACTGGGAAGTATTTACCTCTCATTTCAGATAAAACCCAGGTTGTTTTTTGCTCAGCACACGAGTGGATCATTTAGACAAATATTTTCTGAAGAGCTATGGCTCCAGGCAGGAAAGGACTCACAAGAGATATTCTCTAGGGAGATCAGGAACAAGGATAGCTCTGTAGCTGAGAAGGGTGAAGTGGAAGTCAAACATCAGAGCAAGTTAACAGGAAGCTGAAAAAGAAGAAGTCTGGATGTGATGGGGAGGGGAAGAAGCCCGAGGACAAGCATTTTTCAGGAGTTTATGCACTCTAGACTGGGGTCAAATCCCAGGTTTGTTTCAGCATTTATTTTACTTTGTAGCTTGTCATCATCTTGTTTAACTTGCTGGAGAATTGGAAAGTTTTTCTTCAGTTTGGTGAGGATTGCACTTCCCTTTCTCTTAGTAGACACCAAAAATATGTCAGGGCTTTGCAGCTGGTTGGATTTTCAGGTGAATGAAAAACATTCCAGTTGTTACAGGAAACTGTCTTTCCCTTGGTAGTTGAGTGTTTGAAAACAGGGAACTTCAGGTGACGCAAAAATTAAGTCTCCAAAGCATCTATATGTCACTTCTGTTTATGCAGGGTGGAGTAGTTCTGAGGTTACAGTGAAGTGCATACCAGTGAAGTGCATTACAAAAATTAGCATGCTTTATTTTCAACACAAAGAGCTTTGAAGTCAAAGAGCAAGTCTGGAGGGTGTTGGAGGGTGTAATGTATAGGAGCAAGATGATGACAGAAAGATGATACAGGTGACATAAAACCTGGTTAAAGGCTTGGGAAGTATCTCCCTTGTTTTTTCGGGTTTTTTGGGGTTTTTTTTTTGGTTTTGTTTTTTTTTTTTTTTTTGGGGGGGGGGGGTGAAAATGGTTTCTTTTGTCTCTGTCATCCCTTGTCCCTGCTTCTTTGCCTCTCATCCACCAGGACTTGTTGTCACTTCTTGCTACTCACCAGCATTGACTCAGGTGAACTGCTTTGTTTGTCTGTGCAAAACAGGAACTATAATTGTTTCTGAAGAAGTTTTCAGTAGTTTTTACTAGGAAAAAATAACCCTTTTCTCTATCATCTATAAACACATTTTGCTGGTTTCCCTCTGCTGTGCAGCCTGAAGGTCACTCTGTACACCTGCTGATGTCCCATGCTAGCTGTGCCCGAGGCACAGACACATCTCTGCCTCCCAGGGGAGTAGTTTCTATTCTAAAAGAGCTTCACTCACAGGAGAGCTGCTTGTTAATTCTGTTGTCATCATATGAAATGCTGGTTTCTATGTCCATCTCAGTATTTTTTTTTTCATACATCTGTGTAGCTTGTTTTGTTCCTTTATGAAAATGATAGAAGAAAAAATTACAGTTGTTTTGTTTTTTTTAATCTGGAACAATTAAACAAGCAAGTGACGAATATGGTGAAGGATGTTCTCAGTATATCTGTGAAGATATATCAGCATATCTCAGTCTCCAATTACTGTGCTTTTGTGCCAGTGATTCAGCAATAAGTAATCTGTATAGTAATGAAAAGTAAACTCAATAAAAAGCAATCTGTGTACATTTCTGTCCTTTCTGAGAGTACATATTTATTATCAGCATTCCTGTGATAACATTATATTTGCAGTTTATTAATGAATAACACAATATTAACATTAATACATAATGTTATGTTTTATGTAGTTAAAAGGATATGTAGCAGCCAACACATTGTTACAGTCTTTTTTTTATTTATTTTTTTCACTTTTGATGTTCTGATGGTTTCAAGTGGCTTTCATTCAAATCACCTCTACTCTTCTTTCTTTCATCAAGCTCTGCACAAGGGAATGCTGTAAGATAACCCACCCCACCTCCCCCTCCATTGAAAAATATTATCTGTCCATTTGAACATTTGTGCTGTTAATGGTAAGTGATAGGCCATCTGTCCTGTTCCCAAGAAGAAATCAAGCAAACAAGACTGAAATTCTGGAACTTGAGCTGAGAGGGAATCAGAGCGAGCCATGCCTCCAAGACATGTTAAATGTCATTTCTAGGCTTTTTATGTCATCCAGTCACAAACCTAAATCTGTGGACAAGCAATAAGCCAGCAAAAGTCTTGCTGAGCAGGCATTTAGCTATGGTAGTGTGAAGTTTCTAGAGGCTTGGTATTGAAGTTTTTTTAGTTTGTTATCTGTGCATATCTAAACTCCTCTATCTGGCCAGTTCATCTTGACATCTGCCTGTGTTCCATAGCTACCCAGAATATTTGTTGCTTTCTCTGCCCCTCGAGAGCTCAGAGTCAGGCAATTCCAGAGCTTGACTAGCACAGGATCTGCTTCCCGGAGCTGTCAGCGCAGGAGGGGAGCCGACATTCCCCATTCCCGGTGCTGCATCTGTGCTGCACAACCCGAACCTCTTCAGCTCGAGGGATGCTGCTGCGGGCCGAAGGAAAGCACGCAGTGTGCCAGAACGCCCCGTCAGTCCGCAGCCCCGGGCTTATGGCCGCCTCCTGAAACACTCCCACAACTTCGGCGCTGGAACTGTTCCCCACAAACACCGGCACATTGTGGGAGCCGGGACTTGGGCACAGTCCTTCGGTTTCCGTGGGTGGGTGAAAAGACCATAAACAGCGCTGAATGTTAGAAATATTCAATCTTTAGACATTGGAACGCGCTGCCCAGAGTGGTGGTGGAGTCACAGTCCCTCACGGTGTTTAAGCAAAGACTGAATGTGGCACTCAGTGCCGTGGTCTGGTTGACATAGTACTGTCCGGTCACAGGCTGGGCTCGATGATCTCTGAGGGCTTTTACAGCCTCTTTGAGTCTGTGATTCCTGTCGGAAGCAAAATGCTTCTCCCTGCTGCGGGAGCCCGACCCTGAGCCCGACCCTCCCCTGTGCCGGCTGTGGGCACGGCCGCCCGCTCCGCCCGCCGCGCTGCCCCGCTCCCATTGGCCGGCTCGCCGCCGCTCCCCGTCTCTATTGGCCAGCGCCGCTGCGGGGCCGCGCGCGATTGGCCGCGCGCTCCGCTGTCCCCACCTGTCACCGCTGGCACCGCCCCCCGCGCCGCAGTGGGGCGATCGGGCGATGCGGTGACGTCAGCTCCGAGCGGCGGCGCCATTGGCGGGCGGGGTGTGACGGGAGATGTGGCGCGCGCTGCGGCGGGCCGGGAGCGCGGCCCCCCGGAGCGGCCCCGGCGTGAGTGGAGAGCGGCGGGGGCCGAGCGCACGGAGAGCGGGGTGAGCGGGGAGAGGGGCGCACGGAGAGCGGGGTGAGCGGGGCACGGAGAGCGGGGTGAGCGGGGTGAGCGGGGCACGGAGAGCGGGGAGAGCGGGGCACGGAGAGCGGGGAGAGGGGGGCACGGAGAGCGGGGAGAGGGGGGCACGGAGAGCGGGGAGAGCGGGGAGAGCGGGCACGGGCACTGCTGCCGAGCGCGCCCACCCTGCATCCAGAACGCTGTGTCCGGGTCTGGGCTCCTCCGCACCAAGAGGCGAGGAGCTCCTGGAGCGGGTCTGTGGGAAGGCAGCGAAGGTCAGAAGTAAAGGCTGAGGGAGCTGGGTCTGTTCAGCCTCGAGGAGAGGCAGCTGAGAGGAGACATCGTTAATAGCTATAACTATCCATGGAGACATCGTTAATATCTCTAATACCCGCGGGAGGGTGCCGAGGGGGTGTCCCCGTTGCTGAGCAGTAAGAAGAGCGGCCAGGGGCGGAACTGATGCTCAGGGGCTCGCACTGGGCGTGAGCAGAGCCCCGCTCCTGGGTGGGTGCCCGTGCAGGGGAGCAGGCTGCCTGGATCGTGTGCAGCCCCTTCCCCGGGGATACCCCGGAGCTCTCTGAATGCAGTCCCGTGCCGTGGGCTCCGGGGTGACCCTGACAGAGCGGGGAGGGCACCAGGCCACCCCTGTGGTCCCTTCCAACCTGACCCATCCAGGATTCTTTGGGAGCAGAGGCTCGGGGCAGGGCAGATGTTGCTTTGGAGGTGCCTCGGGTTGAAACCCCATTCCTGAGCCTTTAAAGACTGTGGAGAGGAGAAATCCTCGTGCACAGGATACCTGGTGTTACGAAATAGCCAGAGCTGGTGCACAGCTTGAGCTTTGGAACTGGAATTCCTGCCACTGACAGTCCATAAAAATGGCTCAGCATGGCTGTCCTGCAGCAGCTGCTGCAAGGGTTTGCCTGAGAAATAAAAATGCTTCAAGCACCTGCCTAATGTTGTTATGTGATTTGTATAGTGATAAGAAATTTCAGGGAACTAAAAGCATGTAAACCTTCTCAGAACAAAACTGGTGTGCCATTTACACCATACCAGAGAAACAAGCCATTAGGTTATTTCCTCACACTCTGCCCAGAACCTTGTGGATGTTGTTTTTAGTGAATGACTCTTCATTGTCTGTCTTCAGTAGAACGTGTGCTACCATCAGGATGCCCGAAGTAAACACAGATCACCTGGATGAGCAGCAGGTGCAGCTCTTGGCAGAGATGTGCATCCTTATCGATGAAAATGACAATAAGATTGGAGCAGAGACCAAGAAAAACTGTCACTTGAATGAAAACATTGACAAAGGTACAGCTTGCTTATCTCCTAATGGAACCATTAAGTTGATTAAATATTTTCAGAAGTGTAGTCATGATTAAATTAAAGCCTTGATCTCAGGTGAGTGTTGGATCAAACCAGAGCAAGTACCTCCCCTTAGGGCCCTCTTCCTCAGCATAAAATATTTAATGTTAAAATTTTGCAGAATGGAGAAACACTCAATTGGAGATAATTGCAAAGGACAGAAATGTGTGATTGCACATACAAGCTTGACAAATCTTTTTAATCACGTTTTGAAGATAAAGTAGTATTTTTTTCCTGTTATGGATACCTAATTCTATGTAGCTTTTTCTAAAGAATGCTTCTTGCTTCTTTGCTGAGTTCTTTTCAGGTATAAAAGGATTTCATTTTAAAGTAGTTCACCCAGAGTTCTTCTTTAAACACTGCTAATAGGAAAGGGTTTAACTGATTTTGGGTTTACTTGAGGTTGGTCAGATTCAACAGTCTCTCATGGTAGTGTGTGACCTTTTTTTATGTACTTAGGGAAAGCATCTTCCTGAAGAGTGAGGAATAACAGACTCAAAAGGTGAAGAAAACAGCAATTGTCTTTTTTTAATGGAGCCTATTTTTGTTCTGCTTTTGCAATTCTTGAAGGGTCTTGAAATGCAGTTTTTTAGGAATTTTTGAGTCATCTCTTTTTGATTGTAAATTTAGGGGTGCCAAGTTCTCCTTGGAAGCTTTTCCAAATGTGCACATTCAGAATGGTGAACTGAGTTTAGAAGAACTCTTCTGTTGTGTTTTTGTTCTAGGAACTCTTCTAATTTCATGTTTTGCATAAGCTGACTTAGAAACCTGAATAAAAGCTCTTGAGTTATTTATCAAATCCCTGGTTTTTAACATATATTAATTTTAAATTGGATTATGTAAAAAAGAGACCATTATAAGCCCTTACTTGTTTTCATATTTTTTTCTCTTCTATTAAATATCTCTGTTTTGTTGTTTGTTTGGGGTTTTCTTATTTTTAGGTTTACTGCACCGAGCTTTTAGTGTTTTCTTATTTAATACCGAAAATAAACTGCTGCTGCAGCAGAGGTCAAATGCAAAAATTACATTTCCAGGTTAGTACTGAAACACCTATATAAATGTGTTTATATAAATGTTTTATTTAGATCAATATTTTAAAAAACATATGTCAATCCAGTTCTGCAGTGTAACTCATTCTGAGGTTTTAGAATTTAGTACTTTAGAGAGGACATACTTACAATACTTTTCAGAGTTCAAAATACCTTGTGGGTGAAGTAAGATAATGGGAATGCTTGTGTATTGTTACAGATATTCTTGGGAAATGGTTGTACCCTGACATGTTTGATCCTGTTCATGCAAGGGCAGAGGGTGTGTTTACCCCTCTGCTGCAAGACATTTATTGGGTTGAAGAAATGGCTGTGGAGAGTGTCCCATTGCACTGGGAAAAGCTGATGTGCAGCAGAGCCCTGGTGCCTGGGAGAGCTGTGGACCTTGGTCTGTGCTGTCTTAACCAGCACTTGTGTAACTCTGCCACAAGTGAGGCTGTGTGGCCAAACCGTGCAGTGCATGAGTTTTGAACACTGAACTATTACTGTCAAATGCAAATGGAGAGACATAAAAATAAGAAGGGGAATCAAACAGAAACAGCAGAAACAGCTTACATGAGGCATGCTGGAGGGAGCATAAAGTTGTTCGTTGCAGAATTTTGAGTGGAAAACAAGATCAAGTGTTTCCAACTTGAGCAAGGAAAACATTTTTCTTTTTTCCAAGGGAATCTTTACTTTAGAGATTATTTTAGATGCTTTTGAGCTTGATGTTTATAGACAAAAAGTTGAAACAGAGTTAGAATATCTACAAACCATGTTTGAGCATTTTGACTGGTTAGCAGAGAAGGAAAAAAATGAATAATAGAGTATGGAGAGAGTATGGTTGTCCTTTAAACACAGGTATAAACTTTGTATTTAATTCTGCTTACTGCCAGCTGCTCTTGAAGCTCTGGGAATATTTTCATTATTCTGTTACATATGAACTCCCAAAAGTAATTTTAATTAGCATTTGAGAGATAAACAAGGTCTTTACAGACTGGCTCTCTAAGTAGATATGCTGGGGATAAGAATGCCTGTCCTCATGTGTATCAAACACTAGCCTGCAAAGTAGTGCTTGCCAGAGGCAAATCCCAGTGCAAAATATGTAAAGGAAAATAAGAGGTGTAAATATCCTCTTTCTGTAACCCTTCTCTGCAAAACAGAAATGAAGCAGGGATGTGTTGAATAACTGGCCTTTGTCTCTGGGGGATTTTGGTGTTGTTTTTTTTGGAATTTTTTTTCCCAGGTCCTTATATGTGTCAAAAATGAACTGATTAAACTTCTTGCAGATTGTTTTACCAACACTTGCTGCAGTCACCCTCTAAGCCACCCACAAGAACTGGAAGAAAACGATGCCATTGGTGTTCGGAGAGCAGCACAGAGACGACTGAAAGCTGAGTTGGGAATTCCCATGGAGCAGGTAAAGAAAGGAGGGAGAAGCAGGAATTCTTGGCAGCATTTGCCAGTTTACAGACTGTCTGGCAGACAGAGTCAGCCACAAACCAAAAAATGAACTTATCTTTGGAAATGCAGAGAGCTGAGTGAACTTCCAGAGATCCCTGGAGGGCAGGGTTACACTTGGTCTGTCAGTACGTGGTTCTGACCTTGGTTTCAGGTAGTTCCCAAGTCTTTTCCTTGGGAGGTGAGGGGTAGGTGCAAGTGTTTGTGTTCATCGGTGCTCAGTTAGTGTGCAAGTCTGGTAAGCATTATTTAAAGCATACCATATAGGAGAAATACACTCCAAGTATTACAGGGTGAGTCTGGCTGGAGAAATGCTGTGCAATTCATGCCATCAAACTGCTTTAAATTGTTTTTTTTTTTCCTTAATAATTCTTTGTGAAAAAGTGCATTGCATTTATATACCTGGGAACAAATAATTTCTAAGGAAGAGGACAACAGCTGATAAGTTGTACTGCAGTGCCCAGCAGTGCACTTCTCCTTGTCTGGCAGCACTTCTGACAAGTGTTTTGGTTGTAGGTACCTCCAGAAGAAATCTCCTACCTGACAAGAATTCACTACAAAGCCAAGTCTGATGGCATCTGGGGAGAACATGAGATAGACTATATCTTATTTGTGCAGAAGGATGTGACACTGAATCCTGACCCCAACGAGATCCAGAGCTACTGCTATGTGACACAGAAAGAACTGAAACAGCTCTTGGACAAAGCTGCCAGGAATGAAGTTAAAATTACTCCATGGTTCAAGCTGATAGCAGAGACCTTTCTTTTTAAGTGGTGGGATAACTTGAATAACTTGAACAAATTTGTTGAGCATGAAAAAATACACCGAATGTAAATAGCTGGCAAAAAGGTGCTGAAGGCTAGCAGTGATGTGTGGTCTCATTAACACTGATAAATCATGATGTACATGCAGAGAGTTGGTCCACATGGAGCATGTTTAATTTATACAGATGTCATAGCTAGTGTTTTTTCTTGTGTCTTTGTCACCTCTTACCCCTTGGTTCTCTTGGGCCTTTAAGATCTCATGTGAAATGGGTAACAGCAGCATGAAACCCCCGAGTTCCTCTTCCTCCGTTGCCTGGTGAAAGATCCCCAGCCCTCGTGTGCCCTGCACACGTGGGAGGGAGCCCAGGCACCTCCTGCCCAGCTCAGGCAGGAGAGCTGGGTGTTCACTGAAGTTACCCACACCTTAGTGATTACACATGACTGTGGGCTCTGCTCTGATGTTGAGAAGACCAATTGCCAGAAGAAAAAAAAACAAAGTAATCAGGATTATTTTTAATTGCAGAAAGCAAATCTCTTCAGCTACTATACTCTCTAATTAACCAAACCCATAAAAGCTTAAGTAATTGGAGTGCCTGTGTGGAGTAAGTTTGATTTTGAAGTGCTGACATATGTGTTAAAGCTTTAGATAATAACAGTGCTTGGGGTTTTTTCCCCCACCAGGATTTTCTGATTAGTTGATGGTTGAATACTGGACATTTCAAATTAAAATAAAAAAGTTAATTACAGCAAATGTTAATGGTACCTATCTAATGTCAGTAGTCTGTCTTTGGAGACTGGATGTGCACTAAATGGCTCTTCTCCATTTTCCAGGAAACTAGGCATCTTGATACAAGGGCTTTTCTTTTCCTGTAATAGTCATTCCCAGACAGCTCAAACCCACTGAACCCCAAAATTCAAGAGTGATAATTTGTGAGCTAACACTGGGTCTTGATGTCAGTTAATTAGAAATTACCAGAGCTAATCCTTTTTGATCTTCCAGTCAATCAGTTGCTAGTAACTTCGGAGGCTTTTTTCAGTAAGACAAATACTCAAGGGTGCTTCAATTTTAATTATGGACTGGGGGGGGGGGGGGATGGAGGGAGTTTGTGATTTCTTCTGTTAGCACATTACTCAAACTAGTTTTTGAGTTCTCCCAGAGCTTGATTAAATAGGATGTTTTGTCATACCACTTATCATTGCAAGTAAACATGGTTCTAAGGATTCTGTGTCTGGATTTGGGGTAAAACTAACTTTTTCCTTGGTCAAAGTTTCTCTTTCTCATCCCTGTTGTGACTGCAGCGCTGAAGCTTCCTTGTACCAGCACCTCCAGTAGTTGGAGGTTTTGGAGCCAGGTTTGTTGTATACTGGCCAGAACTGATGTATTGTTTCAAAGCAAGTATCAGGTGAGGGAACAGTGATGTGATGTAGCAGCTCTCTTGAATTCAGTGCAATCAGCTGTGATACCCCGCCATAGGCAATGTAGTTCTCAAATACTTTTTAAATCTAACTTTATAATTAAAACATCTTGCCTAAACCCTTGGACTGTTGTTTTCTTTCCAGATGTGAAACTTCATGGAGAATAATCTGTCTTTGCCACACTCTAAGCAGCACCCTGTGCATTAAACACCACTGAAGTAGCACGATATGGGCAGGGCAGCAGGACTCAGATCTACTGGATCAAAAAAGTTCTGTTTTTCTAGTTCAGCTTGGAGCAAAAGCTGGCAAAACAGATCCTGAAGCAGAAGCCCTGTGCATGTAGAAGCTGAAAGAAAAATTTTGTTTAACAGTTCCTCCAAGTCCCTCAGAAGTTTTACTTGACCTCTGTCTTCTTTGTGGCACTACAGTATGTTTTAATTCTGAATTTATTACACAAAGTAGATGAGAGAAACTCTTATCAATTTACACATGCTGCAAAAGCTGACATCTGACAGCCAGTTACTGGCTGTATTTCAAAAAGTAGTGATTTGAGGTTTCTTTCTTTCCCCCTCATTTTTCTGGGCGGTATTAATTTTTGATATGGATTTGAAGTGCACTGTTCAAGCAACACATTTATAATGCATCATTTTGAAAACCTCTATGTAACCACTGACCAAGTAGGGACAAAAAATATTTCACATATGACCATATATTTTGCCTTGAGCAGAATTTTATCTGTCAGATCCTAAAGAGAAAATGTCCTGCTAAGCCAAGGATGACAGCAACATGTGCTTGGCACAGAATTTCAGTCCGAGCCTCAATTTCTACATATCTGAAATATTAATATTAAATATTAATAGGTGTAACCTTCCCTGCCCATGCTGTTCTAGGTTATTACAGGGTGCAGGTCAGTACTAGAACTGCAGTTTCTCCTCCAGTCACCCTGTATCTCAGTAAAGTGGCAGCACTGCTCCCGTGCTTCAGGGCACAAATAAACTTTGTCTAGTTTTTGGTGCTTTCCTGTTACTTGCCCACCCGTTTCAGCCTTCACCAGCAACATAAACTCATCACAAAGGATTACCTGCATGCAGCAATCCAAACCTTACTGAACCCAGGAATTTTTTATTAATGGTAGTTTAACAAAGTGCGCACATTTCTAGATTTAACCTCATTTTAAATTAGGTTTGTATAGAGATATAAACACTACTGATACATGAAAGTCAGGAATAAAAATATGAAAGAAAATATTTTTTAATGGCTGTTTAGAAATGGTTTCTGCCACTAGAATTGAATTTCTTGGAACTGCAATATCAAGGTATTGAAATACTGAACTTGAAGTATCATAACCACCAACACAAAACACACATTTAAATATCAAGTATTACTAAAAAAGATGACAACTAGAACTTAGTTTTAATAAATTTAATTTTTATTTTAAATTTGATTTTTTGACCAGTTTTTGATTTTGATCTAGAAGATTGCTTATCTTCTCTGTGTTTTACCAGATTTTCTCTTCCCAGCCAGCAGATGTCTTGGCTTCAAGTTAAATATGTGCCTGTCTGCCTCTCCTTTCCTGCCCAGGCGATTCATTTTCTTTTGAGCTTTCTTTGCCATGATCTTAACCTTCTTCACCATCTATTTAAAAACAAACAAACAAACAAACAATGCAGAGTAACTTCCTCATTAACTCAGGTAACAAGCTTTACCTTTAAAAAAACCCACTAAGCTGGATGGTTTTATCAAGGACATTAACACCAGCTGAGCAGTGTCACTCTGAAACTTTGCAAAACTTTCCAGAACAATAACACAGGATCATGCTATCCCTGAATTCCTCACTTACTAAAGATAGAACCACAGTTTGCAGAATTCTTTCTTCAGACTTGCATTTAGAGACAATAATTAAAATGTACTTCTTTGGTCTATATTATTACATGTTATTTGCAAGATGGAAGTAGAGAAACAAGAGTCCAAATGAAAATATGATCAAGCTGCAGGGAGACCAAACACAAACTCTGGACAAACATAACTAGCCTACTCTGAAGTCTCCCAGGAGCTGGTCTAGGCACAATCATGCTGGTTGAGCTGCCAAACAGGTAAATACAGATGAATAACAAACCTTTTCATCCCGAAGGCCAGACACATCCCGTGGTGTGCGAGAGCAGCTGCGACTGCGCGACGCCGACCTGGGCGCTTCAGACTCTTCGCGTTTGCGCTTCCTCGTGGTGCTGCGCGACCTCCTCATGTAATGTGCCTGAAAGTGAAAACATCATTTAACCTTTAAAGCCAGAAACAATCAGCTCACTTCTAATCAGAGTAACAGCAAAAAAACAGGAAGTGGATTGCTGTGATAAATTATATTGGTTATTCCATAGTAACATCATTTAACCTTTAAAACCAGAAACAATCAGCTCACTTCTAATCAGAGTAATAGCAAAACCAGGAAGTGGATTGCTGTGATAAATTATATTTGTTATTCCATAGTAACATAAAGATCTTGACAGCTGTTGCTCACTGCCTCTTTGTCCTACAGGAGCACTCAAATTTCAGTGAATATTAGCTTTTTTTCCTCCACAATTACTAACTGGCTCTTTTCTTCTGGTGGAGTAGACTCATACGTAATCAATAAAAAGATACAAATTAATGGATAGCAACAACGCTTAAGCAATTTTGCAACAGCAAAATAACAATGATGAAACCTACCCTGATTATTGTCCTGTGTACTGGGCATAGCCCTGAAGAATTTCAGACATGAAGACTGACCATGTTATAGCATAAGCATTACATTGCTCTTACATCAACACGGCATGGCAGCTCTGAGAACCACAAATGCTTGATTCAGATGTGCAGTGTTGACAGTTCTTGTTTCCTACCTCCTTGTTTAGCTAAACAGAGATCTCAAGATCCAGGGAGCTGTAATACCACTGGATTTGTTGTACAAAATGTTTTGGGCTTTTTTTAAATAAAATGTCTCCTGGAGGCCAGTCTCTGATGAAATATTTTACCTGCCTTACATTTAAAGATGCCAGCTGCCCCCAAAAACTTCAATTACAGCTCATGGAATTAATGACCTATAAAAAGATAGGCCTGATCTGTTGCTATTACTATTTCTGACATAGTAGAGTCTCATCCAACAAAGCAGACTTGATAATTAAGAAGTATGCTTAGATAAGCCTGTTCTTGAATCCTACACAAATTCCAAGAAAGCAGTGCATTTGTATATATGATTTTTGATAAATGTTAGTTTTCTAGCTTATACAACCTGTTTTGATCACATTACTCAAAAAATTCCAGTACCAACTGCCTCATCTGCAATTCCTAATTCACCCTTAACAGACCCCACCTCTCTCTTGTGACAATTACAATCAGCATTTCAACTGTGCTCAAAGAAATCTAAGTCTCTTTTAGACAAACATTACATTTAATTAGAAAAAACTTACATCATCTTTATTAGTCATGTCAAGTCCAAGATCAGTCATTTCTTTCTCTAACACCTTCCTCTGCACCTGTACAAACACAGTTAAAAAAAACATGTTTCTTTAAAAAAAAAATCCTTCCAACTTTTTGTCTCACTAAACCACCACAAGTCCATTATATTCACTATATAATTCTGGCTTTATCATATCCACAAGCAGGTTATTGACATCCTACCTTCACATTTCATTTTTTGCAACTTTTTTTTTTGCCCCCATAAATTCTGTTTCACAGGACTCCAATGGTCCCACATTTCCTAAAGATCATGTAATTGCTTTTCCTTTTTTTGTGGAAAGCTGACAAGAAGTTGTTTGGTCAAAAATGTTTCCTTTTCTCCCAAAAGACACACACTCTGGAGAAGGTAAGAGATCTTAGGGGCAACAGCAGCTAGATTCATTTTCTCAAAATGTCTCGTTACCAGTTTATTACTTTGCAATTGTCCTGGACAGGTCAGAAGAGAGTCTGCCATCAGAAATAATGATACCTGGCTACTAAAAAGACACATCACCTTTTCCAGAATAAATTTAACATGATTGTGATTTTAAGTAATTATCTAATTCTTATAATTCTTTGAATTTTAAGCGAACAGATAATATACAATGAAACAACTCAGTTAAACAAACGGAATCATATTATTAAAAACCTTTTCTGCACTACATATGGAGTTTTACACAAGACTCACTTATGTGACACACAAAAAAAAAGGTTTACTATCCCTCCTCAGCTAAGCAGCAACCAGAACTCCTGGGAGAACAGAAGGAAGCAAGCAGTGAAGGGGCCAAGTATGAACAAAACCCATCAGTTCCATTACCTGACAGTGATACATGCTTTCATGATGTTGTTACATAGCAGCAAGATTTTTTACAGAACATGTTCTAGACTCACCTTTTTAGCTGTTCTAGGCATCCTTGGACCATGAACATCTTTTTCCTTTGACTGCAGGATTTTCAGTTTCTTCTTTTCTCGTATCTTCCTTGCCAGTTTTCTGATTTCCATCATTTCTTCATCTTCACTTTCTGGTTCACTGTCATATTCTCCAGCAGCTTCTCTCAGCTCTTCTTCTTTTTCCAATTCTTCCAGTTTCTTAGATTTTGAAGAGGTAAAATAGAGATCAGATCCTTGACTTATGATCTTCAACATTACATTTGTACATGGTCCTGGGCTGTGACAGCACACAGGCCCTTCAAAGAAGGAACTACATTACCTGGTAACCACACTAACGGGGCTGGTGACAGAGATTACTGTGAACCCATGAACACACTGATGTGCAGACTAACTCCATCACTCCACATTATCACTTGGCTAAATCTGTGTGGCTGCCCAAAGCCGCCCAGTGTGTGAAAGCAGCTGTACTGTCCTGTGAGCTGTGCTTGCTGTGCCATTTTTGGAAACAGACTCTGAAAAACCCTTCTCTTCTGACATTCAACATGAGTCCAGAACACCAGAATCCACAGGAACCCAGCTGCATAACTGGGAGGCTCCGTGGGCTGCACTCATCACTCCTCCTTAACAACCAGCAGGAAATCTAAACAGTGATTGTTATTAAATAAAAATGTTACAAATTGAGCATTCAGTGCATACCCTCCATAGATGTAAATCTGATGGATGAACTTTGTATTATTAAAAATACATAAAGTTTGATAGCTA